TTTTTTGTTGTTGTTGTTGTTGTTGTTGTTGTTGTTATTGTTGTTGTTTTTAAGATTTTTTTTTTTTAGTTGTAGATGGGCATGATATCAGTATTTTATTTATTTATTTTTATGTGGTGCTGAGGATTGAACCCAGTGCCAGGTAACCACTCTACCACCAAGCTACAACCCCAGGGCCCTTCATATGBTTTTTAACACTACACACACTGTACAGGCAGGAGGACTCCTAACTCATAAAAAGCTTCTTCAGTATGTTCAGCAATCTGGAAGTGGATATGGATAGAACACATTTTAGCTTTTGGGTTCCAGTAACCATATACCATAGTCACACCAATATTCTGCACAGAAATAAAAAGAACAAAACTAACCTCAGTCCTTGAATCTCCTTTGTAAGATGATGCCATGCTGTTTTTATTGCCAATCACAATTTTTTACTGTAGTAGGTTTTTTTTTTTCAGAATAACAATCCATTCTTATATTTTGTTGGTTGTTAAGTAGCTTCAGGATTATCCTGTAGWGTTTTATTTGAAGTAGGTAACAAGTTGGGATAACTACCTAAATTCCACTTCAAAATAAAAATTCATAGCTCATTTTCCTTTCCACACTGTCACAGTTATCCTATGGCCACAGAGCATTCCATAAATCAAGATTTTAGAACACAAAGCACTAAAGTAAAAAGACCTCATGTGTTATGTCATGGGCTCCTTCAAATACACAGGCTACTAAGTCTTAAAAGGTGAATTTCTGTGAGCAAATAACCTTTGAACATTGTATTCTGGGAGAAAGAAATAAATGTCAATGTCAGGAGGCTTCTTTTGCTGCTGATTTGAGAAGATCTGAGGGTATCTTTGCCACTCAAAAACAAGACGTCAACCCCATTTCTACTGATTCTTAAGTCTGACAAAGTCTGACCAAGATGTTTATTTCACAGCTAATAGAACTGRAGCCACCTGAGGTCAATCTGTATGACCAACTTGCAGAGAAAGTGTCAGAGCCAGGACCTAAACTAAACCTTAATACTTTAAGTCAGCTCTCATTTTTTCTCCATTAGATTACTCCCAATCTATTGCTATAGCTAAGAGATCAATTTTCTTTTGTTTAAATAATGTAAAAATGTAACCACTTTACATTATAAGGTTTTAACTTTACACCCATGGCTCCTACTTGTATGTATGAGAAATTTTAAAAAGTAAATGGATTCAGTTTTTGAAAAATAATTAGGAAACCCTATAGAATAAAAAATGYCATATTTGATAGGAAAATTATTTAAAGAAAAGTTAAATCATTATTTTAGCTTAACCTATCACACTTGTATAACTATACTGGAGACAATAAATCTTCCTTTCAGAATTAATCTTCTTTTTTTCCTGGTAATTGTTTCTTACCTACCAGATGCAGAGAAATATATTATCAATAATAACTAAAGCTGTGAATATATCCCATTCCTTTAAAAACATTCAGTAGCAGTACACTGAAAAAGAACTTCATAAGGATACTTCTCCATAACAAAGATTTTCTCCTTTTTTTGAGTTGATATGAGATATTTTTATTTTTTTATTTTTCAGAGAAAGGATACAGAATTTATTATCCATCAAAAGTGAAAAGAATGAGTGATTCAAAAAAGAACAAATAAAAAATGCTCAAAAGACTAAGGTAAATTCTCATTTGATAATTGTAACTGAGAGCTGCATATTATCCTTCCACTGTTACTAGTTAGTTGGCTGTGCAAACTTGGATGTGTCTCTTTCTTTCTCTGAGACTCAGATTTCTCTCCAGGAAAAGTAGGACATTGACACAGAKCATCTGTTTCTCTATGGTCCTTTTAGGAGCACAGTGGTGTATTCAGAATCTATGTGTGGGCTGGGGTCATGGCTCAGTGGTAGAACACTGGGTTCAATCCTCAGCACCCCATTAAAAAATAAATAAAATAAAGGTATTGTATCCATCTAGAACTAAAAAAAAAAATAAAATAAAAAAATCTAAAGAAAAAAAAAGAATCCATGTGCATTCAAGGCCAGGATCTGAAATTTCTACTATTCAGGCTTCATATTTTCTATGTGCCCCATTGGTTTTTGCCCTTCCATTCCTCTTTTTCTGCATATTTTCAAGTTAATCTTTTTTCCTTAATCCCTTTACTGGTCTTCCTTTTTTCTGATATGAAAATTTTAGAGGTTGCTTAAGGGATTACAAATATGAGTTCTTACTCTACTAAGAATTAAGAATTCAAATATGAATTCTTACTTACTGTCAAGTTACCTAATGTAAAATGTAAGAATCTTTCCTTGTATAATTTCATTTCCCTTTCCCTTATACCATTCTTTTCAAATATTTTACAACTATACACTTATCCACTCTAAAATACAGTATCTTATTTTTTGCTTTAAATGAGCAGTTGTATTGAGTTTGACATTTTCTCTCCATGTTCCTTCTGCCTAATTAAGGTTATTCCTGGGCAGCAGCTAGACCACTTAAAACTTAGGTCCTGAAGGAGTCTCTAAACTAGGGCTTAGCAAACTTTCACTGTTAAAGCACAGATAATAAGTATTTTTGACTTGTAGATGGTCTCTAACTACTCAGCTCTGCTATTATAGTGCAAAAGCAGCCACAGTGCCTAACTAAATGACTGTCACTGTGCTCTAAAAATCCTTCTTYACAGCAAACTCAATTTGGCTTGCAGACCCTAGTTTGCTGACATATGATCTACATCACTGGTGGTAAATACCATAGGTCCATATTTCACATCTGTAATTATGAAACACTTAGAGCTCTGAAAACTGTATGATTTTCCACAACTCCACTGGCAGCAAAACATGAATCTATCTGCAGTTACCAGTGAAAAAACCTGACCTGAACCTGAGGCTATTTATAGTCTCTATATAACACCTAGTATGAATATTCATGTTTTATGTCAGAAATATCCATTTATTGATTAAGGAGTGCTGTTCCACAGCATGTTGGGGCATTATATTACTATGTAAACATTTTTAAATTCAAAAGTTCTGGATTCTGTAACACACATGGCACCATGGTTTTAATTACAAAATTATGGGGTGATAGTACCCTACTCAGASGTGAGGTTTAAAAACAATGATCCAAATATGCTTGAGAACAATCTGCAAATGCATGTAAAAGATCCGGTTTATATCTCTCCTGGCTCCCTTTTTTCAGGATCTTCCTCTAATACATCTGGCAATTTAGGAGAATCCCTCATACGCCTTGCTCCTCTAGTTCCTTGTCCATTTGAGAATCTCTTTGATCCAACCCAACAGTTACTTTTACTACACAAAAATAACAATGCATTTTCCTCAAATAAGTTTCTAAAAATGTTTTTATAATTTGATTGTGTTTGATTATAAGACAAGCAGCTAAAGTCTAAAAGACAGAGTTACAATCAACTCKTATCACTTAAGAGACTGTCTTTGGATGAGTACTTTAACCTTTGTAGGCCTCAGTTTCTTCAGCTGAAAAAAAAAGAATAATAATATTACTTACCYCATATGATTAAAAAGTAGAGCACTCAGCTTGGTGTTTGGATAATAGCATACAATAAATATTAGCTATAATTTTCTTTTGAAACAGATTCTCACTGTTGTGAAGGCTTGTTGTGAACAGTTGTAATTTTCTTTAAAAATATAAGTAAATTAGTTGGAAAAACAAACGATTGCAAACAAACCTTTCTTTGATCTGGTTCATGCCCTCAGAGGCCAACTCTGATAATTTATTAATGCATTAATGTAATATTAAAATTTTGGGGGGGCACCAGGGATTGAACTCAGGGACACTTGACCACTGAGCCACATCCCCAGCCCTATTTTTATTTAGATATAGGGTCTCACTGAATTGCTTAGGCTGGCTTTGAACTCAGGATCCTCCTGCCTTAGCCTCCAGAGCCACTGGGATAACATGTGTGYAGCACCATGCTCAGCTTGTAATATTCAAACTTAGTAGAGCATGGATAGACTCAAACCAGCATGCACTCCCAGATATTGTTTGCAAAATGTTATGTATATTGTTCCTGAAAGAACATCTAGAATTTTACCAGAGTCCTGAAGGGATTAATATTCCAAAAAAGGTTAAGAACCAGTGTCCTAAAAGTACCCTATTATAGTGTATGTGGAGTATGAGTGAGAAAGTAATGTTCTGCCTAATCTATTAAAGTTTCCCACTAGAACAGAGCCGAACCATCTGAAACATTTCCTCAATGTCTCATTTGTGAAACTGTTTTGGGGACATGATATCAAAACTCTTGAACTGAGATAGCTATATTCATTAGTCTGTTAGCAGGTCCCAAGCTAATGTCACTGCTCCAGAGATGCACAAAGRAACAATAAATCCATGCATAGATATCAGAGAACCTAAAGACTGAGCTAGTGGGTAAACCTGTCCTAAAAGGAATTATAACACACATGAAGTAACTTTTGGCCCAGTGGATATAGCAAACAGAGAAAAAAAGTAGAAAACAATATTGTGTAAAGTCAGTTTATCTTGGCAAACAGTCTTGGAGCAATAATCTTCAAACTTCTGGAATAGAAAAACTATATTTTTTTAGTCTGGCTATGTGACCTGGCAATGTCACTTAGCAGTTCAGCATGTGAGATGGCAACAGCTACATCCAGGACAATCTCCAGCTTATCTTACAATATGGAAATGTGCTAAACCAAGATTGTTGGCAGAAAGTATGGGCACATGGGGTGTGAGCTGTAAAGGGTCAACTGCAAATAGAGTGCACTGACACTTCTTCAGGAACAGCTGCTAAGCACAAKGTGCTATTGGAAGAGCATTTGGAATTTTGCAATAGGAGACCAAAGGGTCCTGATTGTTCTGATGCAAAGCATAGGCTATTACAACTCAGAATATAATTTCAATGACACCATCCCTCATGGATTAAATCCCTCATGGATTAAAAACATACTGTGTAGAGTTAAGAATTGGGGTATAAAATACATGTGAATTCTGGTAAATTTTGGATACCTAGTGATTGTTGACCTATAATTATAAGTAATTATAATTATATTTCTCAGGCACTTCCCTAGAAATAATAAAGGTGAAATATCAGAGAAAAGGGCAATTCAATCCTCAAAAAGGGAAAAAGTGCTCCAACTGGAGAATAACAAAGTAAAATATGACATAAATCACTGTACCTCAACCCTATTTCTGGATTGCCAGAAATTGAATAATTCCTATTTCAGAATAGTTCCATGACCCAAGAGGATAACAGAGTGATGCAGCAGGAATGGGAGCCATTTATTGTAGGAAAACAGAGGTATTTATACATTTTGCACAGCTTATCTTAATTAGCATAAACTAGATACATCAATCAACCAATAAGGAATCTCCACACTTAATGGCTCACTTTTGTTACTTCTCAAACCACTCCCTCTGAGATTTTGCCAGGCACCATCCAGACTTGTCCACGAACTCCAACATCTCTCTGGCAAAATACCAGGTGTTATTTTTGACTTATTTACAGACCTTAACAACAGAGTATAGGGAATAACATGACATAACATGCACTGAGAAACCATTGAGATGGCTTTGGTTACCTATGWTAAAGTGAGGCTCCTGCTCTAACTTTAGGTCTCTGAAATGTGATGATTTCAAAAGCACATTGTGGACATGGGCATCATTTTTTTTCTTTGGCCACAGGGTATAAAGTTTTGTCTCTMTTTTGCTCACTTTGGGATATTGGGGCTTGACAAACATGGCCAGGCAGCCTAAATAACCACAAAGGAGGGAGACAAGCATCTCAGCATCTACAATTGGCTCTTGTTTAGGCTCTGTTGTTTAGAGGAGAAATCTAACGATACCTTCCTGGAGAGTCTCCATTTTCATCAAATAGGATCATATCTTCAGAAACCCCAGTAAAATTGGTTTTCATCAGGGAGTCCAAAAGTTTTCGCCCGTCAATTGGCTTCATTGCATCACAGAGTCCTGCGTAGCCTGGGCAGAGGGACATCTGCATGTTGTGTAGTCCATAGGCCATGGAATAGATGGCATTGATCACAAATCCCATTTTGGAATCTTGAACATGATGTGTTCTCAGGGTCAGAGAACCT